CCCGGGCTGGAGCAGCTGGCAGGCGAGGAGCTGCTCCAGCCCCCAGCAGTGAACCGGGTGACGCTCACCCGTTAACTTTCTACATCCCTGGATGCAATCAGGGGCTTCAGTCAAATGTGAGTCGCGGCCCAGGGGCGGGTGCAGTGTAGCTGTAGCTACGCCCAGTGCACGGGGCAGACGAGGCGGCAAGATAGAGCCTGTCTGCAAGACGCACCAACCGGACCAGCTTTCTAGGCACGGCCTCAACGTAACCCAGCAACGCGAGGAAGCCGCACGCCCTGGCACTGGGCGGGGCCCGGCCCGGATCTCGGAGGGGGAAGCGACCCCCCCCCCCGGTCGCACGCCGGAAGGAGGGACAGCCCCGGAAGTGCTTGGTAGCGATTGACCTCCACGGACCGGAAGTAGCGTTGCCGGCGCCCCTCACGCGCTGTGCGTTCTTGGCCGTTGCCGCCGGTAACTAACAGACGGTCTTTGTCCCTGCTCCCCACAGCATTGGGACAGCCCGAGAACGCTGCGCCCCGAGGAGCGGGTTGGGGGGGTGAGCGGCCGCAGGGAACGTAAGGAGCCCGGGTGGGGAAGCCACCAGCGGGCAGCAGCGGGGGGGCCTCGGTGAATCGCGTCCGCCCTAGTCTCGGAGGTGAAGTCTTCGCGAGGAGCCGCCTCGCGAGCTTATCCCCAGGGGCCACCCGCCAGGCCGCGCGCGGAACGGAGGAGGCGCGTGCCGCTCGCTCCCCACGTAGCCCGGTGGAGCGGGGGCACGGTGGGGGGGAGACCCTTCCCCCTCCCGCCCTCTCCCCCAGCTGCCTCAGCGAGCGCTGGCCGTGGGTAGGGGAAGACCTTCGCTTAGGCCAGGCTCAAACTCCTTGTTTAATCCAGACTGATGCTTATTCAGTCCCTCCTCGCTCAGAGGAGACGCACTGAAGGGTTGGCTCGTACGTGCCATGCTTAGGCCGTTTTTGTCTTTGCAGGAGTGCTACTGCCACTGTATATAATAGAGTCGCGCCGGGGTCTGAAGTGCTGTCAAAATGTCAGATATTGAAGAGGCTTCTGACACCTTAGCAGACGTGCACCTCGATGATACACATAAACCTTTAACTGAAAACACAGACAGTGATCTCCATTCAAGCCTGAAAGATACCGTGGTCACTATTGGAGCTACTGTACCAACTGGTTTTGAGTTCACAGCAGCAGATGAAGTGAAAGAGAAATTAGGATCACAGTCCAGAATAAGCAAGGACCGAGGAAAAATCTATTTTGAAATTTCAGTAGAGAAACTTTCACAGGTTTGCATATTTTGTTCCTTGGGTAACTTATCTAGGTTAGGAATTTATTGGTATTCCTTTTTTTCCCCCTATTTGTCCTGGGCCTTGTTTTCTCCCTTTGATGTACAAATTTAAATGATCAGTTAGTGATTTTCTGTATATGAATTGAATATTATGAATGCTAAACATTGGGTTCATTTCTAATGTTATCATCATCTTAAATTAATGATAAATAATGCTTTTTATATGTTGAAAGATTTTACTAATTGTATATTCTGCAAATATTTAACTAACAGCTGAAATGCAGCCCCATCTGTATTTGACTATGACTGCTGTTAAACTGGAATTTATACATCTTGAACTATCATTTTAAAAAAGTCATAGAAACCCTATTCTTTCTTTTCACCATTGTGACTAAACATAGAAATAATTTTTACAAATAAAAATAATTATATTCCAGTCTCTTATAAACAATATATTCTAGTATTAAAATCTACCTATATATGTATACACACAAACAAACTTACATAATACTCTACTATATACAAAATATTCTAGTAGTAATTTGTAAGTGCCTCCTCTATCTCTCTGGACCCAAAATGTTCCATAGAATCTCTATGGATAGTAATTCCATGCTCCAATAGTAAGAATATAGCAGTAAGGATTATCGACCACTTTTTCAGGACAGTGATAGTGACTATGAAATGCTGAGGGAGATCAAATTTAAAAACTCAATAATAGTGGGGGATTTCAACTATCCCCATATTGACTGGGTACACGTCATCTCAGGATGGGATGCAACATCCCTGTGGTAGGAAAAAAACCTCAGCAGCTCAACATTATGGCATTTAATTTCAGAAAGGGGAACTACACAAAAATGAGGAAGTTAGGTAAACAGAAAGGTAGAGTGACAAAAGTAAAATCTCCACAAGCTGCATGCAAACTTTTCAAAGACACCATAAAAGACGCCCAACTTAAATGTATACCCAAAATTAAAAAACACAGTAAGAGAACCAAATAAGTGCCACCGTGGCTTAATAACAAGGTAAAAGAAGCAGAGACAGATACAAATATATCTTTTAAACAGTGGAAGTCAAATCCTTGTGAGGAAAATAAAAAGGACCATAAACTTTGTCAAATTAAGTGTAAAAATATAATAAGAAAAGCCAAAAAGAAGTCTGAAGAACAGCTAGCCAAAAACTCAAAAAAAAATAGTAAAATGTTTTTAAGTACATAAGAAGTAGGAAGCCAGCTAAACAACCAGTGGGGCCCTTGGATGATCAAGATGCTAAAGGAGAACTCAAAGACAATAAAGTAATTGCAGAGAAACTAAATGAATTCTTTGCTTCGGTCTTCATGGCTGAGGATGTTAGGGAGATTCCCAAACCTGACCCGTCCTTTGTAGGTGAAAATCTGAGGACTTGACACTTCAATCTGTGACATTAGAGGAGGTTTTGGAACAAATTGATAAACTTAACAGTAACAAGTTACCGAGACCAGATGGCATTCACCCAAGAGTTCTGAAAGAACTCAAATGGGAAATTGCAGAACTATTAACTGTGGTTTGTAACCTATCTTTTAAATCTGGTTTCATACCTAATGAAAGGAAGATAGCTAACGTGACACCAATATTTAAAACGGGCTCTAAAGGTGATCCTGGCAATTACCGACTAGTAAGTCTAACGTCAGTACCGGGCAAATTAGTTGAAACTATAGCAAAGAATACAATTGTCAGATACATGGATGAATATAATTTGTTGGGGGAAAGTCAGCATGGTTTCTGTGAAGGGAAATCATGCCTTACTAATCTGCTAGAGTTCTCTGAGGGGGTCAGCAAACGTGGACAAGGGGGATCCAGTGGCTATAGTATACTTAGATTTCCAGAAAGCCTTTGACGAGGTCCCTCACCAAAGGCTCTTAAGTAAAGTAAGTTGTCATGGGATAAGAGTGAAGGTCCATTTGTGGATTGATAACTGGTTAAAAGACAGGAAACAAAGAGTAGGAATAAATGGTAAGTTTTCAGGGTGGAAAGAGGTAACTAGTGGGGTCCCTCAAGGGTCTGTCCTGGGAGCAATCCTATTCAGCTTATTTATAAATGATCTAGGGAAAGGGGTAAACAGTGAGGTGGCAAAATTTGCAGATGATACCAAACTGCTCAAGATAGGTAAGACTAAAATAGACTGTGAAGAGCTTCAAAAAGATCTCACCAAACTAAGTGATTGGGCAACAAAATGGCAAATGAAATGTAATGTTAATAAATGTAAAGTAATGGGAAAAAATAATCCCAACTATACATACAATATGAGGGGGGCTAATTTGGCTACAACTACTTAAGAGAAAGATCTTGGAGTCATTGTGGATAGTTCTTTGAAAACATCCACTCAGTGTGCAGCAGCAGTGAAAAAAGCAAATAATGTTAGGAGTCATTAAAAAATGGATAGAGAATAAGACAGAAAATATCTTATTGCCTCTATATAAAACCATGGTACACCCACATCTTGAATACTGCATAAAGATGCAGTCACCTTATCTCAAAAAGATATATTGGCATTGGAAAAGGTTCGGAAAAGGTTCAGAAAAAGGCAACAAAAATTATCAGGGGTTTGGAACGGGTCCCAAATGAAGCGAGATTAAAAAGACTTTGACTTTTCAGCTTAGTAAAGAGGAGACTAAGGGGAGATATGATAGAGGTGTATAAAATGACTGGTATGGAAAAACTGAATAAGGAAAAGTTATTTACTTATTCCCACAATAAAAAAACTAGGGGTCACCAAATGAAATTAATAGGCATCAAGTTTAAAGCAAACAAAAGGAAGTTTTTTTCTTCACTCAGCGCACAGTCAACCTGTAGAACACCTTACCAGAGGATGTGGTGAAGGCTAGAACTTTAACAGGTTCAAAAAAGAGCTGGATAGATTGATGGAGATTAGGTCCATCAATGGCTATTAGCCAGGATTGGTAGGAATGGTGTCACTAGCCTGTGTTTCTCTGGAGGTAGGTGACAGAGTGAGGATTACCTGTTGCGATCCTCCCTCTCCGGGGCATCTGGTATGGGTCACTATGGGCAGACAGGATACTGGGCTAGATGGACCTTTGGTCTTACGTTGTAGAGAGAGAGAGAGAATCTGAATACACATTATTTAAAATCTTTACTTACATTTCAAGAACTAAATTCAGATTTTTCTCTGCTGCAACAATGGATTAACTCAGAAGCAAATAATTTGAAACAAGATGAGTTTTTCTCTCTGTTCTACATTAGGTCTTTGTGATTATCATATGTCATATTGAAGAAGAGGTATTTGTACACAGAGGCTGTGTCTACACTGGCAAGTTATTACGGAAAATCAGCCGCTTTTCCGGAAAAACTTGCCAGCTGTCTACACTGGCCGCTTGAATTTCCGGAAGAGCACTGACGATCTAATGTAAAATCATCAGTGCTTTTCTGGAAAAACTATGCTGCTCCCGTTCGGGCAAAAGTCTTTTTCCGGAAACCTGTTCCGGAAAAGGGCCAGTGTAGACAGCACAGTAGTGTTTTCCGCAAAAAAGCCTCGATCGCGAAAATGACGATTGGGGCTTTTTTGCGGAAAAGCGCGTTTAGATTGGCCATGGACGCTTTTCCAGAAAAAATGCTTTTCCAGAAAAGCGTCCTGCCAATCTAGACGCGCTTTTCTGGAAATACTTTTAACGGAAAACCTTTTCCGTTAAAAGCATTTCCGGAAAATCATGCCAGTGTAGACGTAGCCAGACAGTAGTAGCAAAGGCATTACAGAAACTAGACATATTTTTACAAAATAAAGCATCAAATAGTCAGCCTAAAAATGGTTTCAGTGCTGTACCTTAAGTCTAGATGTAATCAGACTAAACTTGAATTACAGACATTTACGTCTGGCTAGTAACATTACCATTCTTTGTAATTTATTTTAGGTTCATCGTTTAAGATCAGTGGATAATTTATTTGTTGTTGTTCAGGAGTTTACAGAATATCAATTTAAAGAAACTAAGGTAAGATATCTGTTGCCAAATCTTCAGATAGATATGACTTTTTTTTAAATAAATGAAAATAAAAAAATAAACATTGGCTTCCTCATAAGGAAATTTCTGAATGAGGATTTTTCTAAACTTAAGAGTAGATTTAGAATTATTTAGTCTTGTGGCTAGGATTGTTTGTGTGCTGTATACTTGTCCAATTCCTCTTAAGTGTTCAAGTGAAAGAATCATTGGACAGTCTAGCACAATTGCATATTTTGCTCAAGCAGAGTCAAGGATGTGTTGCAGGTCAGAGTGCGGTGCATTATCAAAACTGACTCTGGGTAGTTCTTTAAATAATTAAAGTTGCAACATATATCATTGAATATTCTGGTTATACTGTGATCTTTTGTAGGAAGATGCTCTAAAAGATTTGGAGGACCTGGCTAAAAAACTGCCTTGGAGTGACCCTTTGACAGTATGGAAGTTAAATACCAACCTAAAGAAAAGAAAGACAAAATATAAAAAACAAAATCAGAGTAGTGCAAGCAAGGAAAAGCTGAATGATAATGGAAGAAAGGACAGAGCAGATGAAAAAGATGCTGATGAAGAGTTTCTTGACCACGCACAAAATACCCCAGGCTTGAAATCTGTTGAACAGAATACAGAAAAGACAGAGGAAATGATCCTAGCAGGTGACCAATTAGATGGAAAAGATGAATTCCTGAATATAACTGGAAACGAAGACACAGTTGGCGACTGCAAGAAAGGTGAAGAAAAGCAGGTGCTGAAATTCCGTGTTACATGCAATAGAGTTGGTGACAAACATAGTTTTACATCAAATGATGCAGCAAGAGACTTTGGTGGAGCTGTGCAAGATTACTTCCAGTGGAAGGCTGACATGACCAACTTTGATGTGGAGGTACAATGCACCAGTATTTTTCAAAAATATCCACATATATTTATACCCACAGATGAGTTGCTGCTTTACTTCATAGCTTTCATGTATCTTTGCTTAAGCTAATATTTTTATGACACTATTGCTCCAAGAGAAAAAGTTGTTTCATAGTAGAATGAAAGACAATTTTTCTCTAAGAAATCAAGTTTAACTTAATTTCTCTGACTTTTCACGTTTATGGGGCTTATATGTATTTTGTAATCTCTTTTAATTGACACCATAATGCATCTTCCTTGCCCACAATTTATAAATACCTGCACAGAGAAAATAAATTTCATAGTGTAAGGAGGCTGGCTACTAGCCCTCCTGCCACCAGGGCTTTCTGGTCTAGGAACATGCGTGGTCCTCCTGGACCACGGACGTTGCCAGACCAGAGAGTTCAGCTTTAGAGAGGTTTCACCTGTAATGAATTTGAACACTTACATAGCACTTTTCTGCCAGGATCTCAAAACTCTTCATAAACATTCTTACTACTGGTAAAGAATCCTGTAAAAATAAAGCATAGTGTAAATAAGTACACTATTTAATATTTCTACATAATAAACCTACATTATAGTTCAAACTTTATCCTAGGTCCTCTTGAACATTAACAATAATGAAATAGTGGTGGGCATTGCATTAACTGAAGAGAGTCTTCACAGAAGAAATATTACACATTTTGGACCTACAACTCTTCGATCCACACTTGCTTATGGCATGCTCAGGTCAGTGCAATAAGTTGTGCATAATTTTTCATTCCCATATAATTTTGTTCTAGAAACTAAGCTTCTTGGTTCTTTTCTGAAAAGCCCTTTTACAATCATTATAAATAAACTAAGAGGTCAAACAAGTATCTTGTACATTTTAAAATGATTGATAATCACTATAATTTGTAGCAAAGGGGAAAAACTTATGTTTTGGCCATAGCTTGTGCTCATAACAATTTGCTAATAGCATCTTTCACAATACTTTATCATGTCACTGTATTTAAAGTTAACTAAACATTGTTTCCAAATGGTTACTAACATTTCCTTACTTGGTGGGAATAATATAATTTGAAGAATTTAAGTAGTTCTCCAATTTACCTTGATAGTAGAAACTTTTGCATCTGTTAGGATTTTCTCTTAATAGAGTTTTTTCCATTCTTCAGGCTCTGCAATCCTCAACCAACTGACATAATAATTGATCCAATGAGTGGAACAGGGGCTATACCAATAGAGGTAATCCTTTTTGTCAGGAAAGGGCCTTGAATAATGGCAGCTTAATAGTATGCATGACTGAATCCTGTACATATTTTAAATGAATCAAATAAATGCTGGATAGCTTACTGATATTCAGCTACTGAAGCAGCCAAATGGAGTAGCGATCTTAAATTTAGATTAAATAACTCATTGAATAGTCGATGGGACTTCAGAATAGTCGATTAGCCTATAAGGGCGCCTCTGCCTTTGAACTGTAGCAAGAGTTCAAAAGTGGAAGCCCTGTAGCAGGGCCTATCCACAACATTTTGGCACCTGAGGTGGGGAGCTCAAGTGATGCCCTCATGGCCCCTTTTTTCCTGCGTGCCTGTTATGTCTCTTGTGCCCTCTTTCCTTCAACGCAGCCCTCCACCATCTCTGTGCATCTAGAGCAGAGAAAATACATATGCACCAGCAGCGGACACAACTTTCTACACTCTGGGTCCTAGTGGCGCCCTTCCCACAGTCTGGCACCTGAGGCGGCCACCTCAGTTTGTCTCATGGTAAGACCAGGCCTGTCCTTCAGTGAGCACAGGCCCAACTCCCCTGCTGGCCCCGCACTCCCTGTGGTGCCTGAGCCTTTGAAATGTACAAGACCCCTGCGTCTGACGAAGTGGGTCTTTGCCCACGAAAGCTTATGCTCCTACACTTCAGTTAGTCTATAAGGTGCCACAGGACTCCTCGTCGCTTTTGCAGATTCAGACTAACACGGCTACCCCTCTGATACAAGACCCCTGCAGGAGCTCTTGTACATTTCAAAAGCAGAATCACAATAGAAGTGGCATGAACCAAGACTACTTAAGTCCCCGCACGCACTGTTTCCTGCAGTGCCCTCTACCTCCCCTGCCCCTGGCAGAGAAGGGGCTGGGGGGAAGTGGCTTTTAAGCAGCTCCCCCGAGCCACTGACCCCTGTTCCCCCTCTTGCTGCCTCTCTCTGATAGAGGGACAGGGAGGTGGGGACAACTAGTCGCATTACTACTCCACTATCCAATAAGCTTCTGCAAACAGCTACAAATATATTTTTTCTTTAGTGGCTTTTGCCCTTCCTCATACAAGCTGCAGAAGTAAATAACTAAATCCTAGAGTATTGTCAGGTCATTAAAGATGCATGATATATGAAATAGATATATTGCAAGGATTATTGAATCTGAAAGTGTTATTGCTTTATTCTGTCATTTACAGGTACATAAACTATTTGCCTCATTTTAATTCACCACTTCAGCATACTAGATTTTATCATAATTTCTTCCATTTTCAGGGGGCTACTGAGTGGCCTACCTGTTATCATATTGCAGGTGATAACAACCCACAGGCTATGAAGAGAGCAGCAAATAACATCTGTTCTTTATTAAAGAAAAATCAGAATAAAGAAAGGTAAGAGAAGTGTACATAGATTTTTGGCTCAGCTGTTTACGTAAAGAAATTCCTCTCTCATGGATTTGTTTAATTTTGTTTTTAATATATTTGTGTTTGAGATTTTTTTAAAGCCTTTTTGAAGTAATAAATCATGCCTGATATGAATGCCTTTATTCACAGTGGCACTTCCTGGGGCATGCCGATAGATGCCATTCAGTGGGATATATGCAATCTCCCCTTGAGGACCAGCTCTGTGGATGTTATTGTAACAGACATGCCATTTGGAAAGAGGTGCAAGTCATCATTTTTAAATACAGTTTTTTAGGTTACTATATTTGAGTGAACCACGTGACAGCAATTCTTCTAGAATTTTCAGGGCCTCTTCTACTCTTCTATAATTGTTGTTAGTACTTTTGTAGCCTTCAACAACTTCCAAGTGCTTCACAAATTCTGAAAATTCACTCTAGTTTGAAACATGGTATAAAATGTGTAATTCAAGTGTCATACAGGTTTCTGGGGGGCACTGCTGAAAAGTGAAATCAGGGAAAATTGCTTAAAGACAGCTACTTACAACCCAAGGCTGGGATCCTCCACTATAAGGCATGCCAAACCAGTCAGAGAGCACTTCTGTTTGCCACACTGGTTAGCAAGAAGTCATAGAAACAATCCCCATAGACACTTCAGCTTTCCTGTGCCACCACCAGTACCACTCCTTACACAGATGAGAAATTATGAAAACCCATTTCACCAAAATAGAACAGGTTCTTCCAATCCCAAAGGAACAGCACATTTCCAGGTTAAATATACCTTGTATGTTACCCAAAAGACCATGCCGTGGTAATCCTTTAGAATCTAAAATCAAAAGGTTTATTAACAGAAAAAAAGGGTGAGTAAAATTATTAAAGGAATCAAACACATACACCAATTGCAAAGTTCTTGGTGCAGGCTTGTTGTAGAGATGGAAGAAACTGCTGTCCTAAAATAAGTCTTTAGACTACATTCTCTGTTAGGATTAGGGATAAAATCCCGTTTAACTAACTGGTTAAACTTGAAGTTTAACCAGATAACTAACTAAACAGGTGAGTTGGAATGGCCCACATGGGCAGGGGATGCTCCAACCCACAGCGCCACCCAGTGTGAGTCTGCCAACTCCCAGACTACAGCCCCACTTCTCTCCCTCTCCCACCCCACCAGGAGGCTGGGAGCCAACAGCTGTATGGGCTTGTGGACCCCCAGGTAAAGTTAACCATTATCCAGTAAGCATCACCCACTAAGAGTGATGCTTACCGTGTAACTGGTTACCCATTCATGTACAGGCAGTCCCCGAGTTACGTGGATCCGACTTATGTCGGATCCGCAGTTACGAATGGGGTTTGCTCTGCGTCTCCCTGGTCTGCTGGAGACCAGCAGACCAGGGAGACGGGGAGCAAAGCCTCTGAGGACGCCGGTAGACCAGCAGACCAGGGAGACGGGGAGCAAAGCCGCGGAGCACGCGGGCAGCGGGACAGCCCAGACGCGCCGCGGCTGTCCTGCTGCCCCCGCGCTCCGCGGCTTTGCTCCCCATCTCCCTGGTTTGCTGGAGACCAGCAGACCAGGGAGAAGGGGAGCAAAGCCTCTGAGGACGCCAGCAGCGGGACAGCCGCGGGGCGTCTGGGCTGCTCTGCTGCCGGCTTCCCCGAGGCTTTGCAAAGCAGTGGGGGAGGCTCAAGCAGTGGGGGGCGCCCAGGCGCGC